AGGAAGGCGGCGAACCTGCTGTTGAGACACTTGATCTGCTCCTTCTCCTCGTGCTTCACGCACTGCGCGTTGGGGTCGATCTCCAGGTTGAGGGGCGTGAGGAGGCTCTCGTTGACCGACACGGTGGTGATGCAGGGCGGGCTGGGTCCGCACACGCCGCCCGAGCGATATCCGAAGCTGCGGCCACAGGAGCCAGAGCGGAAGCCCCCGCAGACGCTCTGGCTGCCAAAGCCCCCGGTGAGGCCTCGGTAGCAGGAGATGCCGCGGTAGGGGGCGGCCGTGATGCAGCAGCGGCCGGGCCGGGGCCCGCAGGCGGAGGCGCAGCTGAAGTTCCTGGGGCCAAATCCACAGCCCACATTGCTGAAGCCACAGGTCATATTGGAGATAGGGAGATGTCTGAACAGTGGAGAAACTGGTGGAGAATAGAGCCAAAGGTCTGTGCTCCCTGGGCCGTGGCAGGTCCTTTTATGCAGCAGGGGTAGCTGGCATTAAAAAGGACAGCAAAGAGACAATAGCTACATTTTATTGGCTTGGCATCACCCTGGCCTCTTAAGAGCCAACCCGCTTGCCTCTTCAGTGTAGCTGTGTCAACAATCCCCAGCCACAGGCCTGTTTCATCTTCAAAGCCCTTTACAAGCTTCCTCATGGCCTCGCCCTACCTATTGCTACTACACGTGGAGAAGGGAGACGGGCTCCTGGAAGCATCAATTGGACTTTACGCTCCAGTGCAGGGAATGGGTGCTGTGACCTGGGGTGGAGCCTGCTCTCTGTATCCTTTTCTGGAAGGAGCAAAGCTTAGCTATGGGCCCTGGCCCTATGACCTGGCATCAGGTGGAGAGGCTGGCCTGTCTCAGGTTGGGGCGACATCTCAAACAACCTCTTGTTCTAGGCTTCTTTGCCTTCCTCTCTCTCTCTAAAGCATGTTCCTTTCTTCACTGTCAATATGAGCCTCTCCACATCTGTTCTTACTCAGAGCCCAGTCAGAAGTGGGGGTGGTAGTAGAGATTTTGGAAGGAGTGTGGTCCATGCACTTAGGGAATTTCTAGGAAAACAGAAGCCATGGGACACCAGCTGGGACATGGGAGAAACGGAGTCAGAGAGTCCAGGAGAGAATCAGAGCCATTCTTCAGAGTTCTGGGTATCATTGCTGGTGGGAAAGGTTCAAGAATGTGAGTGTAGAGTACCTTAGAGCTGCAGGAGTTGATCAGGGAAGGCTTCTTGGAGGTGGGTTTAAAGAAGACTGGGATGGAATGGGGATAGTGTTGGGAGGAGATAAGAAGTCCAGTTCTGATTTGGAGACTAGACTGTGTAATCATCTTTTCATTCAGTCAGTAAATTCTTCCTGAGTGCTAATGTTGCGCTAGACACTTGCCAGGTCTAGGAATCCAGCAGAGACCCGAGGTGTTTGGAAGCAGGAGAGGGCGGCGTGCACATGGGGTGGTGGAGAAGACACAGGTGGAGGGAAGGCCCCACGATGCCCAGGCTGAGTTGGAGTCTTACGTTAGGGTGTGAGAGTCCTTTAGGTTCCCAGCAGGAAGCTGAGCAATGAATACTGGTGCGTGCACACTCATCAGGAAGAGTGAAAGGTGCTGGGAATGGGGAGACAGGTCGCCAGGATCCTGAGATGGCATCACTTCCTCCCTTCAGAGGATCCACAGGGTGAGAGGAGGTAGAGACTCAGCCAAGCACCCTTAATTTGCCCCTTAATCCCTTTGAGCTAGATTGGTGATGGCTTTGATGGGTGGGCAGTGGGATTAAGCCAGGAGGTTCCTCTAACCCAAGACTCTGAGCCCATAAATCCTTCCAAGCACATGTCTCTTGACCGCCTTTGTACTGAGGATGACTCCTCTGATGGACCTGTTTCCTGACCAGCCACAACAAAATGCTGACTCAGTCTGGGCTAAAAATAGCCCTCTATGCATCCTCCCAGGGCCTCACCGGGGCCTCCCTACTCCCTCTCAGGGTGAGTGTCCAGTTATATCTGAGAGTGAGTGAGGGCCCATCTTGGAGGGCGGGTGATGGTGCTATGGGAATTTGTTAGGGAGCTGGACAACATCTGCATGGATTCTATAAAAAGGACACTCTAGCCCCTTCATCTTGGACCCTGTGGATAGATTTCCAGACTCTTATGTCTGCTATGGGAACTGTGGATGTGGATTGTGGGATAAGGGCTTCAGGTGTGAGAGACACACAAGGAGGCAAGGTCTGGGAGCTGGAGGGTGGCTGATTCCAGCTGAATAGCTGATGGGATTTTTGGAGCATTTCTGTGGGAGGTGTGGCTGGTGGCACTTAGATGCTAAGCCTTTGCTGGGTGAAATATCTGCTGACATTCAAGAAAGAACCAGATCTTTCTCTCCTCTTGTCTCAATCCACATTAGAACTGGTGAGCACCTGGAAGATTCTCAAGCCATGTCCAATGATTACTTGAGATTTGTTTCTTGGTAACATGCTGAGGGGTGCAAGATGGCAAAGCCTCTGTAAAACATTTCTCTATCACTGTATCTTTGTCCTCTGACCCTGCTCACTTCTCAACACAGTGGGGTTGGTATCAAGTTGGACCCTTCACTGAGGGTCTCTGTGTAGACATACCTACCTCCTGGGTTCAGGGGAGCCATAAGTGTGCCCAGGCCCCTATCCTGGTTGGAGATGATGGAAGTATGGACTCTGGTGATAAAAAGGCATGGTTTGAAGCCCAGCTCTGCCACTTACTAGCTTTGGGACCTAGGACAACTTACATTTTCTAGTTTCTTACTTGTGATATATGAATGGCAACCCATGCCTTGCTGGGCTTGGGGAAGATGAATCGAGTGTCTGGTGGTAGGAGGTGCCACCTCTTACCACCTACTAACAAGGCGACTGGTCCCAGTTACATGAAGCCAACAGGGCCTTGCAAAGGGATAGCGCGCATGGGCTGTGAGGTTCCATCCTTGCGTGAGCACACAACAGCACAATAGCTTTTACAAGGCAATCATTGCCACCTCAGAAAACCTTAATTAAAGCACCAATTTGTAAATGGACCAGAACAAAGAGAATGACAGACCAGGTGAGCTCCTTGAAAACAGACTTAGACAGGAAGCTGACAAAGAGTCAGCAGCAGCCCAGTCTGAGGTGTTGCTTCCTTCCACCTGAGCAACTGACTGAGATGGGTTCCGGTCCTCATCATGAGGCTCTGGCTGAGCCTGAGGCTGGTTCAGTTGTCAAGGCCCGTGCCTTTTCCCTGCCCTTTACCCAGCCAGCCTGGGTCAGCCTAGGGGCTGGCTTGTCGCTGCTGCGGACAATGACTGCTTGCCCTGCCATTCTGGTTCTCTGAGTCCTGCCTACTTCCCTGCAATTGCGACTGGCCTTATTCACAACTCTGTGTTTTTTTGGTCGTCACCTGCCTGCCTGCCTGCCTGCCTGCCTGGCTTCTGACCCACAGATGCTCAGACTTTTGTCATTTCTTCTTGCCTTAATATCTATGGGCCTTTTAATTGTTTTTGTCCCTTCCTAATGGATTTATGATAAACAACACTGTGATGAGCATTAGTCAATACATTTTTGTGCATATCTCCACTAATTCTTTAAAATAAATTTGTGGAGGTGAGATTGCTAGGTTCAAGGATACAGTCTCGGTCTGAGGTGTCACCTGTCTGGCTGCAGAAGTGGTTTTTCTGTGCTCAGTGAAGTCGTAGGATTTGAGAGTCAGAAAGTGTGGATGCAAATCCACTCTGACTCTTACTAGCCATGTGATGAGTTAGTTCATCTCTGTGTGTTTTGTTTCTTCATCTATGAGATGAGGGTTAGAGAACTGACTCCTGGGGTCTCCCTGAAAATGAAATACTCATTTTACCCTCGTAAAAGCACTCAGATGGCTGAGAACACACCCACCTCCTTCCCAGGACAGGAACCTCCTGGGCCTTGCTTTCCTCGGTTCTCCAACCTTCCCATCTTCAGTTCTGCCTCTGACCTTGAACTCGTAACACACTGAGGACTATGGGCTGGAGCTGATAAAACATGGCACCTTCACATACTCTAAAACTGTTTATTCAACAGGTACTATGTATTGCAGGGCGTGAAGAAGAGTTTAACACACGTCCCTGTCCTCAAGAAGCTGACTGGTTAGTCAGATACATTTGTAAACAGGCACAAGTTAAATGGATAGTAGACATAGTAGTTTTTCATGGCAGTTCATGATTGTTAATTGACTGGCACAGTGTGTCTTGTCTCAGGGATTTGGGGACGAGCTCACTGTGAGCAGGTGCAATCAGAGAGGCTTTGTGGGAAAGGTCAGACTTTAGCTAGGCTTGGGAAAGTTGAAAGGGTGGAGGCAGTGCCAGGCGGAGACTGGCAAAAAAGCACTGGAATATTCAAAGCACAATGGATGAGCTTAGAAGATGTCATACCTAAAGGATGAAACTCAAGCACATTCCAATGAAATTTGGGAGCAAGAAAAGATGCCCACTCTTAATGCCATGCTTTACAAACTGGAATTCCTGGCCAAGAAAGGAAGTATGTCTACGTATTAGAAGAGGTAGAACTGGTCTTATTTGCAGACAATGTGATCAACTACATAGAAAACCCAACAAAGTCAATCGATAAACTGTAGAAATCGATAAACTGTAATTGAGCAGTGATGCTAGTTACTAGGTCAGCTTATGAAAATCAAAAGTGTTTTTCTATATTGGCAACAACCAATTAGAAAATTAATAGAAAAATAAAGTTATAATTCCTAAGAGTGATGATAATAATGAAATTTTTATGATACAACAATAAAGTATTAACAAAATCTATATGGGGCATAATGTAGGACCCGCATATAAAAAATCATGCAAGAAAATTCAATTAAGTGGAATCATATCATATTCAAGAATAATTTTACCTAATATTCCAAAGATATAAATTCCCACAAATTAATTAATAAGCACAATGCAGACTCAATAAAAACTCTGCTGGATTTCTTTTTTTAATGTAAAATTTTTTATTAAACTAATCATTTTAGTCAATAAAGGGACTTGAGGTTAACTTGATTTTAAAGAGCTCTAAATCAAAAAGTTTTTTTCTGCCTGTAAGCCGGTCACAACTGCCGATTTGCAAAGTCATTTACAAAAATGTTAGTTTCTACTCTACTGGATTTCTTTTAAGGGACTTGATAAAATTAATCTAAAATTTATATGGAAGAATAACATCTAAAGTCAGTTATGAAAAAGGACAACAAAGAGAATGTCTGAGGATTAGAGAGAAATAATAGTAGAAAAGTATAGTATCTATGTAGGAACAGATAAATGAGCCATTAGATAGAATACAGAGATCAAAATGGGCCATCTAATATAAGATAAACTTGGTATTTGATGAAGGTGGCAACAAGTGAAGGGCCATTTACTTATCTGGTGAGATTAGT